TGGGGTAAAGTGTCTTGCCCAGGGACACAACGACATGCTGACTGCAGTGGGACTCGAACTTGCTATCCTCTGATTCAAAGATCAGCACACTAACTCACTTAGCCACAGACTCAACAAACAATATGAAGGAATTTGGCAGCGACACAATATATCAGCTTTTGCTGCGACTACAGAGAGGTAAAGGTGTATTTTCTTAGCACCAGGTTCTAAAAAACAAGGTTGTGTAAGCCTTTGTATGTTAAATTGATTGCTTCATTATTCTTGGTAAAATAGTTAAAAATAAGTCAAATGATGTGATATATCGCTCCCTTTGCAATCAGTATCTGTATTGTGTTCAAGAACAATAGGACAATTAAGTTGAAATAGATGAGGTGTTATTCATCACTTATAATGAATACGGTTTAGAAAGTCATCTTGTCATCTACAACTTTTCTACATCAAAAATCACTTTCACTGACTATAAGACTGTAGATATTACTTAAAATATTGAAGTGAGATGGAAACCAGGCAAATCTGAACATTGTCAGGCAGCCTTAAAATGACATCCAAAGTCTTTCTCTGAAGTTTGCTTCAATTGATGATACATTTGTCTGTGAAATGAAAAAATTATAATTGAAGATCTATAGCACATGAGAAAAAACATTCATCAAGGCCAGATAAGAAATGATTTCAAGGTCACCGTTTCTACTCCAGACCATCACTACAATGGCTTTACTTATATGGAAATAAGTCCAGCTGATAATGCAATACAGAGTGACCTTATCTACAAAGAGCACCCTGGGATTTGAAAAAACACAATTGAGTCTGACCTTCAAACACGTCCATAATACTATAATTAATATGTGGATTTCTGGACAGATGGATGTGGAGAAAACTATTGAAAGCTTGGACAATAAATTAGCAGTTCAGAATTGTTCTCAAGTATTTCATCAGATCATGATCGCCTCACTAAGCTTTAACAAACAAATCAACTGAACCTCACACGTGCTCCTATTTCTTGATAAGATGACAGATGATGTAATCACATGTGGTAGGATGGAAGCAAAAGAGATGGAAGTTCACATTTTAGAGATAACATATTACACAGAAATCCGATAACATTCAATTTGCGTCTAGATCTTTTTTGACACATGAGCTAACTGATTTATCATTAAATGTAAAACTCATCATTTCAGCAAGGCATAATGTGGGCCAGCTAAAATGTTATAATGCTGGATGTTGTATGTATCATTTAAGTATTCACCTTCCATTGTGTATTATGTGTATTGTCAGGAGCAGCCCTTGGCATTTCTGGAGAATGAGGTCCTTTACTCTCTCAGTCACAATTTATTTGCTTAGGATTTAATACGAGGCATTTAATAAGTCAGTTATGTAAAATGTTGTCCGTTATTCTGCAAAGGTTAAAGCTATATCAATAAAGCCTGTTTCATGGCTGAGTTTGAACACTAAAACTGCTTATCTAACTTGTTATAGTGCAAGGTTGAAAGCTGTAAGCAGCATCAATATTGCATTGTGACTCAACCTTGCAACCCTGGAGGAGTACATTATTTTCTTTGTTGAACAATGAGGAATTCCACAATCAAGAGACCAAGACCAAACAAACAGATAACATTTTAAACATAACTGATCAAAAAACTTAAAACAGAGATCCCGCTGTGCTAGTTGGAAATCCACAATTCAACACCGTAAAACAGATAAAATTATGAAAGCATTTCTCACCATTAAAATCACAACTGCGTTAATTTCAAACAATCTCACAGTGAAATCTTTCGGGTCTTTACTGCGGTTATTGAATGAATACACAGGTCTCTCTCAAAGGCTGTCTGTAATGCCACTATTACGATACGATAATACTTTAATAGTCAGATCAAGTCTGAAATTTGACTTGCATCACAGCAGCTCCATGTTTAACATCAACATAGACAAATAATTAGTCAATTATTATTGTTATTATTCAATTTGTGAGGCATGAACATCCATCTTGAATGCTCATGAGTAATGATGGCTAGAGGCACTTTAATTCCGGGGCATGTTTGATTACAATAAAGGTCCCGTCTAGCCCCTTCAGTTTGTGCTTCACACGTATCATTATACATTCAAGCTAAAAAACAATTGCCTTTTTATCATCCAAATGGTTATAAGAGTTTTTGACAGAAATACTTTCAAAACAGGATCAAGTTTTTTAAATAACCTTGAGGTTTAGGAAATAATCGCTGGGTATTAATCTTAATCATTTAGTAAAACTGGTTGGTGTTGATTTAACTGAATTGTTAATCAAGAGGGATGCAATTGGAACAGCAAGAAATACTGCAATGCTGCATTTCCCAAAATGTTATTTTCCAAACAGTCACAGTTCTTATAGGCCTACCATGTACTCACAAATTAGCGTCTTTACCTGTGTATACATAGACTTGGTTTGTCAAACACATGCATTCAGAGAGGAGCTGACGCAGATTGTGGGAGTGAACAAAGTTATCATCTGAGGTGTTAAATTGACTGGCCTTGATGGTTACCTTCACACTTGACTACACTCACTTTGTCCTAAATGTTTTCTCTAAAAGTTAGTTGCCACTGGTTGACCTATAAAGTATGGTCAAGTTTTAAAAAGTAAAAATGCACTGTACCTTACTAAATGTTTCTTTTCAAATGTTCTAGATTTTCAGTGATCCTCCTGCTCTAATGCAGTGGACATGTGTGTAGAGTTAATGGGGGCCATTACCTTTATGTTAATGTTATAAAACTGATACGATTCCAGCTTGAAACCACAATAAATATGAAAGGTTTCCAGCTTGGACAGCTAATGGATTGAACAACATAAAGCTAACCCAAATTGCTAAAGTTGCATTAGTCACAGTGATATATGCCAGGCCAAGGGGCCCAAAACTTCTGGGACCCCAGTGACCTTCACTTCCGAAATGTCAGAGCGAAAAACAGAATTGAGTCAAAATTAGCTCAAAAAACAAAAAAAACTGAGAAGGAAGTGCAAAACAACCACATAGATACGCACAAAGACACAATGGAACCACAAAGTGACTCAAAATTATCACAAATTGACAAAAATGGCAACAAATAGAAGTTTAACAAATAAATCAAATAAAGTGGGCTTGTCCAATGTATGACTGGTGGTGTATTATTTTTTTGTGCCTGCCGAGGAAAGATACATTAAAGACATTTGAACATCATTCATTTATCATTACAAATTCCCCACCAGATATGTGAACTGAAAGATAACCATGTAATTGAGTGACTGCGATAAGGTAATTAGTGTTTGCATCTTCCAACCTTTAGACATGCCAGCTGTAAGCCTCCAGCAGCCTAACTCGTTCATTCAATTCACTGTCACTAATCTTTGTTCCGATACTAGATTATTCATGAGATATGAAGATTTTATGCATCTCCCCTGCTACTTATTACTGTCAAATTCAGAAATTAATCTAGGGAGGCATGTTGCTTGGGATTAATTGGCAGTGGAACAACCCAAATGAATTAACCTTTGAATTGGCTGATTAAATTGTGGTAGTGGGATACAAAATATAGACAATCTTAAAAAGTCAGTTTGAGATCATCTTTTTTGGGGGGGATTAGTAGATCAATCTGTCTAAAGCTTGTGTTATCACCTTCAATCACAGTAGATCACAAACGCTTTAATTGCAATATTTGTTGTATCATACGTAAAAAAACGCACATGATGAATTATGTATAGAAATGTTTCAATAACTGGAGAACATTGAATCCACCCCCAGAAAAGCACTGTGGCCTCTTCAGTCCCTGAAAGATATCTCATCCAGGCTCAAACAATCAGAATGGCTCTTAAACGCCACCTTGTTTGACCTGTTGCCCTCTTGCAAGTGCCAGAGAACCATCATAGCATGAACCACCAGACACAATCACAGCTTCCTCTTTGCCTGGGCCAACAAGCATTGAATTACTTTTCACATACTAGATGCTGGCTTTGTTTCTCGAGTGAAATCCAAATGGATCTTGTGCAATAGTTACAGGTATTGAAGTGCAAAATAAAAAAAATGTCCCAGTTGCGAACATATTTTACTGCAACATTTAAAAGCAAATGTACAGTATTCTGCAAAATGACAATACATGCTTTCTATTCTATTGTTATGTTCTATTCTATTCTATTAATATATAATGTTTGTATTAGGTGCAGTGCATCTATGACCTTTGTGGCAAATGTGATATTTATTTGCATGTGACCACTTCAAAACTATTATAATGCCCCCTATTGTTTAAAACATGCATGCACAGTTTTTAACACTGAATAAAGGCTAATTTGTCTCCAAACCACACAATATTAACTGCAAAATTGTGTGTCACAGTCTTAATTTTTACTCAATAAATATTGTGAATTGTATTATTTAATTGTTTTTATTATTGCTCTTGATATTATTATTACATTTTTTACCTCATCTTGTAAACTTTCAAACAGCGATGCCATTAAACGTAGATTAACCATGGTAACCAGATGTATGAGAAGTACTCAGATCGAGTATTTAAGTGAAAGTACAAGTACCAAAGTGTAGGAATACTCTATTACAAGTAAAAGTCCTGCATTGAAAAGGTTACTTAAGTAAAAGTACAAAGGTATTAGCACCAAAATATACTTAAAGTACCAAAAGTAAAAGTAGGCTACTCATTGTGCAAATTGGTCCATTTCAGAATAATATATCATATTAAATACTTTGCATACTGCAGGGTAGCTTGTGAATTTACTCCAGGTGTAGCTAAAGTCTGATTGAAGTGTTCTTTATATTTAACATAATTAATCCAAATCTGAAAAGTAACTAAAGATAATAAATACATGTTATGGAGTAAAAGTACACAATTTACCTAATAATTGGAGAAGAGTATAAGTATTCATCAGCAATACATTTGAATAATAACTCAAGTAGTACAGGTCTCTGAAAAGTGTACTTAAGCACAGTAGTTAAGGGTAATGTGCTTAAATAGGCTACTTGGATAATTATGAAAGCTAATTAACACTGCTGGTAACCAAGTAACCAATAACGCTCTGGTCCGTCTACCATACCCGTTCGGCTTTGGTCCGTTTGCTAATCTGTCCGTAGTGAAACAAGAAGGTTTGTCTCAACTGCTAGTGTCGCCCAAACCTACCGTGAAACTAGCTTACTCTCAACATGGAAGAAGTTTATAAATCCACATTACCTACTGGAGTTTAAATCGGCAACGTTAGACGAACCGCCGTTGCCGACGTTGTTTATAGTGAGCACGAAGAATTCCCATTATACGGTAGCAAGAAATTTACGCTTTACGTCTTTGAACGAGGGTGCGACTCAGCTAGAACAAGCTGTTCTACTAAGATTTATCAATGGACGCGGTTGTGCAGTTTACCAGCCAAAGTCAAGGAAGGGACCGTATATTCAGGTAAGTCGTGTGTAAAATGTGTGTGGACTAGTCTTTAGTATTCCATGTTGTATATATCAACAGAAAAGTTAGTTGAGGTTGTAAACATGACAAGTGCAGTCTAGACTGACCGTCAAATTTCTATTTTCTCACTGTCTACTTTATTTATTTCAGGGCAACTCAATATGCATGTGCACTGTCGGTGTATTTACTTCGGAACAACTCCGAAAGAAAGGACCTTGTGGCGAAACTCAAAAGTCTGGAAACCAACATGAGCGCTGGAAGAAAACGTGAGTATAAGTTACTGTAACTGAGGAGGGGTCTCTTAGGAGCTTACAGTAGTGACAGTTTGTTCATTACCGAAAACCCCAATTGTTTCTCCCCCCCCCCCAAAAAAAACTAAATCGGCAGGAGATTTACATTCACAGAACTAGATTGTGACCCCTGAGCCCAGTGTGAAACCTTAGTTTAGTTTCATCAACATCAGACATGCTGTAGCGTTCAATTCAAAACAAGGTAGAACTGCACGTTTTCACTTTTGCTTGCTAAACGTTTGAGAAACTAATGGTCAATGAATAATGTTGTTTATTCATTTTAATTTGTCGATAACAACATCCTTACTCTGTCACAACCTGCAATTATAACTCACATTTTTCAATACACCAAACTCTGTCTCAATGAATTCAGTTTATTTCTTCCTATATATCCAGTTGTGTAGACTTATATGCACGAATGCAGGAAAATAAGGCCATCCATCATCAAAGCTTTTTCTTCCCATCCAATTTCAGTCCCTATTTCTTTGTCCTGCTGATTTTCTTTATCAACCCAAATATTTGGGTATCAAGGTCGTGATAAACTGTGGACTGCCCACACGACAGGGACCGAGTTGCAGCCAATATAAACTATAGTTGTTGGACTATCTCAAGCTTTCATAAAGCCCAGTCTATTGTCAATAATAATATAAGCTCATGTTTTTTACGAAAACACTTGAGACAGCACCCTGTGTTCCAGGACATACTACTTTATCTATTCGAATGGAAAAGAATAAACTATGAACAGAGCTTATTTCAGACAATGTTTTCTAAGAACCATTGAACGTCTGATGTTAAAATAGACGAACCTCTCTGTCTTTTGTTTACGATCTCTTAGCACTGGGTTCCCATGGTCATTAAAACCAGGAACAGGTTGTACAGTTTGAACTTTGAACAATCAAAGTTCGTGGAAGATTGTAAAATAACTTGAAATGTCAGCAAAATGTGACATTCTAAACGATGACAATGAATAATGATTGTATGATGATTGATCTTGTATTTTCAGCTGCAAACTAAATGTTAGTAGGATGATGGAAAAACTGAAATTAGTAGCATGCACGATTTATATTGTTATAGAAAAAAACATCTGCCTCGTAATTATTAACCTAAGGGGCAATTTTAAGACCTTCACCCTTGGCACACTTGTGTTTGGAATCAGTGGTGTAAGAGGTGAGAGTAAAAAGGACATTGTAGATGTTCCCCGAATGGCATGGTGAATACACAACATGGTAATCTCCCTGTTTAGCAGAGGCCATAAGTCACCCAGGTTCATGTGAAGCAGTACACTTTTACCCTGAACATATATATTTTATTTTGTAAGTTACTTAATAACATTTTGATAATGTTATAGTGAAGGTAGTTGGTATTTCAGGGGAGGGATGCCGACGTCTGCTTTAAAACACTGCAGGAAAACCTCCATACATTATGCCACTATCAAAACTGCATGAATAGTATTACGTTTTCAAACTGCAACTGCCAACATATTGACAATTTTGCCAAAACACATTGTAAAGTTGACAAGTTGTTCAATCTGAACATTGAAGGACATTTGACATACTTGTGTGTCTACTTATCTGTTGAATGTTTTACAGCTACAACTATGCCTTAATTATCTTCTTCCAGCACATAAACAAACGGTATACAACACATTTTTAGAGATATCTAAAGAATTGTTTCAGGGTCACATTTGCAGTACAAATTGCAATGACAATTTTATTATTTTAATGCTTTCGGAAATGTTACATTCTGTTTTGGCATTGCCAATCATGCCTTTCATCAGGGTCAGGCAAGAAACACTATGTCCCTCTCAGGCTCTCTGTTCCTGTTTGACCTATATATCTCCTTTTGTGCATCAGAGCTGAAGCCACAGAGCTCCTGCCTCAGTAATAATGAGTGAAGGAGACATGTAGGTGTCATTATTTAAAAACAGAACATGTCAGAGGCTAATGTTGCCAAACATTTTGCTTTCTGAATGGCTCAAAAAGCATCAATCGCAAGGCCAAGCCTGAGCTGGACTAGGTGTCATGCAGTAGGTAAACACTGTGAGTAAGTGTCCATGACCTTTTCCCTCAGAGGGACAAGTTCGATGAAAGACAGTAGTTTGGTTTAAACACAGCTTAACGTAGCTTTACTCAATCCTACCCTCAATAGTTGAGTTTTATTATGAAATGTTGACCTGACATTTCATATTAAATTGATTACTGCTCTAATATGCTTTTTTTCTTCCTCCTTTGTCAGTGTTCAGGCTGGGGAACACAATAAATTCCATTGAGGCTGCTAAGCGAACCATGCAACTCTCTGACCGAGTGCTGAGCCTCTGCCTTACTGCGGCCAACGCCAGCCGCGCCCTCTACTTTATCTGTGACAATGTACTTTGGGCCAGAAATGTCGGCCTTATCCGCCATATCGACAAGGAACGCTGGAGTCTGAATGCCTCTCGATGCTATTTCCTCTCGCTAGTAACAAGTCTGACCAGAGATGTTTATGAAGTCATCCAGTTAATGGCACAGAAAGCAAGAGACAGACACTTTAGACAGAAAATGGAGCTGCATCTCAATGAGAGTCCTGAAGTGGCCGAAGCAGTCATCCCTCAGCTGGATGCGTTTCTCTTTCTGCTGTTAGAGAGCCTGAGATCGCATCCTGCTGTTGCCTTGGACATGCTTAAAAATGTATGTGATCTCTTCATTCCCCTTGATAGGTTGGGTATATACCAATCGAACGCAGGAGTGGTAGGATTTTGTGGTTTGTTATCTTCAGTGATTGGGATTGTAACCCTTGCACAGCCCAAGTTAAGACTTAGACCCTGATAAGAAGGGCAGAGTTCATCCTGCTGACTAACTGCAGATAAAAGGATTTATCCTGACAGGATGTAGTGTGTCTACCTGAAGCTGTAATGGTGGACTAAAGTAGACCTGGTGCACATTGAGATTAGGGCACATTTTGTAACATTTAAATCAGGCCAGCAACAACTGATGGCGTGATTGGATTTGATTTTTTTGTCATGGATTCTTGATTAACAAAATGACTAAACATTGAATGGGGAACTGGTGAAGTTTAAAACTCTGGTATGAAAGGAATACAAATCAAGTTAACATAGAATCCTTGTTTGTTTTACATAGATTAAAAGAGCCAAGGCTTAACGTGTGTGCATTCCTTTCTTCTCCAGCACTGCGTGTAACACCAGTTTTCTTACTACTGTACTTTCAAAAAAGGGCTCTTTACTGATGCACATATCTCTTAGAAAAAGTAAACTTTTTACCACTCTATGTCCACTGTCTTTATATTTTCTCCATTTGTGATAAGATGCTGCTAAAAGTTGTACCTCAATGATTCAAGTGATAAACTGCTTCTCGGCCAAACGTGCTTCCAGAGGGGAAAAAGCAGCTGACAGATTTCAGGGGATAGGATTCTCTCACAGTAGACATCTTGTCTAGTCATTGTAGGACAAGCACAGAATTACCAGTTATGCAAACAATGGCTCTGTTCTGTCTGAGTGTGGCTGTGAGTTTGGCAGAAAGCCAACATTCACAATACAATGACGCTGAAATCAAAGCAGCTTCATGGAATTCATCCATAATTAGTGTCATTGTTTTCTATATGTGTTTTCCTACTGCTGTGGCGACTAATTTGTCTTCTGTGAAAAAGTATTTAATCTCACCTGTTATGACTCAGACAGCATAATGAACGTCAGACTCATGGCCTGTATGTCAATTTAAAATGTAAATTATTGAGTTAAAAAATATCAATACAATTGGTGTTATTTTTGAATGAGAAGAGACACTCTCGATAATGTGATAACAATAATATTCTTAATATATTGCTTAGTACGCTTGTGTGTATACTTGTTATTCAAATCTTTGATTAAAACAAGTGCGGAGGATAAAGTAGAGACCTCCAACTCCCTTTAGAAAATAACTAATATTAGACTTCAGTTCTAAAAGCTGCGAGTGAGATTTACAATGACATGAAGTTTGTTTCATTCCAGGGGACCTAATGTTTTTACTGTCACACTTGATTTCAAAGGTTAATAAATACTATAAAAACAGAATTTCTTAAATTGTGCTTTTTGAAAATCTTCATATTTTGTAGAAATGTTAATTTGTGGTGCTTTAAGGGAAATTTCACTTCAGTTTCTTACACATTGAGTAACACTGTTAAATTCAAAAGAGCTTTATTTGTTGCTTGAACTGAGACAGCCATACACTTCTTCTGAAAGCTTTTTACTCAAGTGGATGACTGGGATAAAGTATCCACCATCAAAAATTGCAAAAATATATTCCATTTCCCTTTCACCATACTTTGAGTGTTGCTCTGAAAAACAATGAACTCACTGCAAAGTTGGATTCCATAAAAGGACAAACGCATATAAAACAATAAATAAAAACAATTTGTTCTTCCAGGTAGACCAATTGCAGTGATTCATAATAGGTGAAATGTCCTATTTCACATTTTCAACAAGACTTGGTTTTCCAGTAGCAACAAACCAATCAATGCACCAGAATTACATTTGTTAAAATACTTTGCGGGGCTGCAAAAAGAAATGCAAAAAAAATCCAGGACATTATTTTGAACAGCTAACCTAAAATGCAGTTTAAGTGGTGTCAGGAAAATCTTGCATTTTTGCAAATGCCGAATTTACATATCTGGAAAAAAAGTCAGCACCCAAAAACTAAGAAGATTTTACAAGGCATCTGATACCAACTTAATCTAAAGATAAGGAACAAAGCACTTTGAACAGCGGCACCAGTGTGAAACTACAGATGTTTAAATACTGCTGGTCCTTTTTTTCTTTTTTACAGAATACCAATACAAGTTACATGCAGAGTGGCTCTGCTCTTTGAATGGAAAGGCACCATCAGTAGTTAGCTCTCGCTACAGTATTACAACAAAGAAAACACATCACAGTTAGCACTTGAGATTCATCGAGGGTCTGGTTCCCAAAATCAACATGTTGACATGAATGGTACGGATAACTGAATTCATACTGTTTAGACTGATATTTTTCCTTTTGAGATTGTTTGATTTCATATGTATTATGCAATAGACCAATACCACTCTTGTGGGAGATGGGAAGCCCTTGACATGAATCTGTTTTGTGAATTATCACTTTCAAGGTCATCTGAATGGTGTTCTGCATGGTTCCATCTCACCATCATTTTTTAAAACACTGACACAACAAATTCTGTGAAACAACCTAAACATCATTTTGTATATCTGAACTGGCATCGTGCTCCTGTCTTTTAGTACAATCAAACAATGTCTCATGGATTTGCAGATCCAATACCAGAAAAAAAAACGTTTGACTGATCAGATAATTTCTCTTGTTGATTAGAGCTTTGTGGCACATTAACTAAACGTTGTGTGGTCTTGTCTTTCGAATAGATCCAAACAGCCAAAATAAATAAAAGTTCAGTGTACCAGAACTTTAAGATCCAGCATGTTTTGCTTTGATATTTAATGCTCAGAATCTGGGCTTACACTTCTTATTTTTCCAATTGTCAGTGCTAATAAATATTCCTCTCTTGGAAAAGTTCATATGTGCCAAGACAGAGCAACTGTTGCCAGTCTCAAATCCTTCAAACATACCAGAAGTAATCTACCAAATGTAAAAGAAATAACAACGTACATTTACCTTATGCAAAATAAACTGCTTAACATGTGACAATAAGCCTATGAAGTATTTTCATTGGGAAATCAAGAAAAGGAAAGCACATTATTTTGTATACATTTCGGCAATGATTATTTCTTTTGAAAGTGGAACTTGATACGATTGGAGAGTGAATTCAATTCCGCAACAGTTCATGATTATCTGATCGAAACAGAAAATGATTTAGACCTACACGGTAATAAAACAAGAAGAACACAGATAACACAATACCTATCCAGTAACAACTATCCAGTAACTGAAGTTCCTTCAAACTAAAATAAATTTACAAGAAAAAGTCTCAGAATGCTTTGAACTGTGCAGGGTAAACCAACAGGGGTGTCCTCATTTTGGAAATGTCTGACATACTGTACGTGTTAAGGCAAATACTAGCTCCCATTCTAAGCAATTATTAAGACAAAAGTTGTGAGAACGGCTAAATTGATCCAAATGTCCAGAGAACACTAACATCTGAAATCAATTTGACAGTTTGTGGTTATTCTTATGATCCTGCCTTGGAACGAATGATTCCAGAAAGTATAAAATGAGTCTAAAAGCGCCGCCAGCACCCTCTAGAGGTCTGCCTGCTCCTTACACCTAAACTGAACCAAAGTGGTATGAACCGAGTGACAGTGCCATCTGTGTACTAACAATTACATTATCCAACTTTTAAAGGCATCTCTTTTGTAATCTCCATACTTCAACCAAAGCAAGATCATAGTCAATCAAACATGATCGATTACCAAGATCAAATACCCTGTACGCTTTTAAAACTGCATTTAGAGTGAAAAGTTATGATTCATAGAGCTTTTAGTCATTCATCTACAGCTTAGATAAAGCATGATTACTGGGTGTACCGTGTTTATCAGTAAACCAACAACCAGAAGGTTTGAGAGAGTTGATAATGAAAAGGCAGTTGGTGGTAGGCTACATGTGGGTGAAGTTGACACTCATATGTGCACAAGCACTATCTTGAAACCAGCGTTCAGGCACTGGGAGGAGTAGTTTTGTGGCATTCCAACATTTCTTAGAAATGACACAGGACGCTGGCAGCTACATGGTTAAATTACTCAAGATCAAAGCCTGAAGAACTTTGCATATTATGCTTTACATTTCATTTTCTTTTCATTTTAGTGATGCATTGAGAAAACCCCTCTGCAAGTTTAGTCCTGCAGAAATGTATTTTTGTTTGAATGATAAGATTTTGTTTGCATTGGCTTCCAAGGGAGAGAGATTGAAAATGGTTGTGACCTTATTATTATTATCATCTGATCTTATTACTGTAACTAATGAATAACTGATGTGCTTAAATGTGTTCACTTTCTATTGGCAAACAGCAAATACAACTGTTGTATGATAAATATAAAGACTTTAGTAGCATTTGTTTCCCCATAAGTTTGATTGTACCATCAATGTAATACTTTTTTTTTTAAATAAATCAACACATATTTTAAAGTTCTGAGCAGATAAAGGAATACAAATAAAAATACATTAAGCAGGAAGGATCAAATCTGCTTTGCACTTCCGATAAAATGGATTTGGCTTACACTTCGTCATTGGACCATTATACAGCAGAACAGAATCCAGCCAAAAATCATAATTAAAAACCAAAATGTTAAAGGGCAACATTTGATCACGGGTCGGTGGGATCGGCCCACTTTCTAGAAAAAAACCCCGCTCCTCGATTCCATAAATACTCGAAGGAGTAAAGTGAAAAGTGTCTCAGTGACTCCGGGCCCCAGCTGGCAGTCTTTGGCTCCATTAGGAGTCTTTTGGTCCAGTCATGTTAAACCCTGCTGAGGGTAGAAGCTGCTGACTAGGAGAGTCCCTGCGCTCGGTCGTAATCTGTGATCAGGCCTTTGATATGTGACAGTTTCTGATGGAGGTACTCGCATCGCTTCTTCTCTTCCCGGTACCCAGGAAACTTCTATAAAGAAAGAAGTGAGCCATCAGTAAAGGACATTCAACGTGATCGCCCTTATGTTAGAACATCCGTGTATTCTTATACAAATCTATCATGTCCTTAGTTTTTTCAGGGAGGTTTGCTGGAGTTTTTGCAATTTGATTTAGCTAACCCTCAGTAGCAGTATTTGATCAATTGATGTTGGGTAGAATTTATGGCAATTTAATCTAAAAATAAAAGTTCTAACTTCTTAGTGGATTGGCAAACTATGATGCACATCCTCAATGATAAAGTCAATACAATGTTAACATCACATCTTTTTTTAAATAGGAAAATTCAAAAATCTAAAATCTAAAATGGAAAATGAGAAAAAATGATGTTCATGAGTGTCACAACTGTTACATGAAATTAAATAAAAATGTAAGTTATTCTTACCTTCTTATACTTTCGGTACTTTTGTAGTATTTGGTCCTCCATGAGCTGAAAGGATGACAACAGAAAGAGTGTTAGGAACATGTATCTGAACAGTTTATTGTTTTGGTGTTTGATCAGAAACGGGGCTTTTAAAGGCCCCTGGTCCTAACAGTACCTTGTACTCTTGTGTTCCCGGGGAGAGAGTGTTGATCTTTGAGCCCAACTGAACAAACATCTCTGTGATAGCCCCGATCCGGGCATGAAGAGCTCTGTATTCATCGTACTCGGCACAGAAGTCGTCCTTATACTCCTGCCTCTGCTCCAGTGCTTTTATGGTACTGTATTTTCTGAGAAAAAGCAAAAATAAACCAGATGTTATTTCAAAGCAGAAGTGATCTTTTGAAACTAAGTTGTTTCCAATTCCTTCCAGTAGATGGCACTGCAGAACGGTGGAGTGAGAGGCCTGACACGTCACTGATATAACATGATGTGTTGACCAGATGTAAAAATGTAAGACATAACATGTGTGTTTGCTTCACTAAAGCTTTGTGACGGCTCATTTAGACATGTGGTTCAATTCACTGTATTTAAAAAAAAATGTTTTAAAGCTTATCCTCACTCTTTAGGGTATCTATTCTCAGTGGCTTAGAGCGATGACAGATTATTTTACAACGTATGTGAGATATCACGCAAATATTTGGATTGAATTCCTGAATCATTAATCCTTTCTGAAGCTGGGATTTGAAAATGTAACACAGTCAGGGTGTGTGTGTTTGAATCTTACATTAAATATTCAGGCAGTTCCTCTGCGGAGGTTCGATTGACAGGTGTTTTCTCCCCCTCATGATCTGTGGATAGGAAAAACAAACACACACACACACATTGAAAAAAAGGTTAAAGCAATCTGCCAATGCAAATGCGATAATTCGCCTATCATATCAAGGCTGATGGAATCATTTATCACTCCCTCTGATAAGAGATCTGATCCAAGGCAAGCCGTGACGTCAGCAGCCTCCGAGTAGGAGGCATGCTGCCTGCTGACTCGCTCGACCGTAGGTCACCCAGCTGTTTCACAG